CCAAGACAAAAAAAAATGTACAATTTGACCTGCTCCAGTATTACTCCACAGAAGCTGATCACAGCAAGCATGAGTGTATTTTATCTTTACCACCTTGCCCCATACAGAGGAGGCACTGCTACACAATAGACTTCCATGCACATACTTCCTCCACACCTGGTCAGAGTCACAGCAGGAACTATGACCACATCCCTCCTTCATTTATAGCAGCTCTACTCGACCGGTCAGATCTTACAGCCGCTGCAGGAAATGATCACATTAGAAACACTAGATTTAGAATCAGCATCCTCGTGGGGAGGAAACGACAGTGATCAAATACATCTGTCAGCTCAAATCTCAAAAGTTTGTGGAAACAAAGCAAGAAGAAGCTGTTCAACCATTGACCACATGGCTGGTTCCACAATGAGCACTTCTGATAAAGTTGAAGAAAAGTTGGCTGTTTATGATCCTCCAGGCTGCCTTTTTTTTTTTTTTTTCTTTCCTCCTCCCTTCCTCGGACTGAGTGAATCAACCTGCAGCATTAACATTCACAACATGTGGCTGCCTGCTCCGCTGTGGAATCCCCTCAGACTGTCAAGACAGGGCTCCCTCCTTCCCGTTTCTCTGGGGAGGTACCAAGAGTTCAACTAAAACCTCAAGACATCCCGATCGGAGATTTTCTTTTTTCTTTTTTTACCTGTTGATTTTCAGAGCGAAAGCCCGTCGCTCTGCGCTGCCCAGAGAAGCCATGTGCGGGGTCTGAAGTCCAGCTCGGCGGTGGTGGTGGTGGTGGAGGTGGCTCTGGTGTTTTCTCTGCGGTCTTGGCCGCCTCGCTGTCACTGGCGCGCCGCTCCTTCACCTCGCTGCGCCTCCGCTGTCAGGACGACGCTCATCTTGGCTGTGGCGGCAGCAGCGGTACTGGGTGTAAACTTCCGCATTTGATTTGAGCCATCCCGTCGAGAGAGAGAGAGAGAGGGAGAGGGAGAGAGAAAGAGAGAGGGGGGAGGCAGACACCGGCTGTGGGAGGAGGGAGGAGGGAGGGAGGGAGGATGGGACAGGCTGGATGAGGCACGCGCGCTCCCTCGCTGCCGTCACGAGCTGTAACACAGTTTACATCCGCGTGAGTTCAAACTTTGCTTCAGTGGTCTTCAGAGCCAGACTGGTTTCATGAAGGGGGGCCGAGCTGGGGGTAGTTCTCACAATGGGGTGGATATTTTTTGTTTGTTTGTTTTTTTAGCTAAGTTACTGCAGGCAAAATAGTCATGTGCTTTTACAGTCACAACTGCCATGTAGTAGGAGTGCATGGAAACTTATAATCCCTCCAATAAACTTTATTCTACACTTTCATTCACTTGATTTGTATTCTTCTTTTTTTCAATTTAACTTCATTCTATTTTTTCCACGTTTTTTTTAATCAGTCAGTTAAACTTACTCCATAAGGTTTGTGTTCACGTTGTCTATACATTTTTTTTTTTTAATGTAATTAATTCTATCCTGTATTTTATCCTGCATGTGTTTTATTTTTAATTTCTTTGCCTGGAATGCACTTTGAATAACCTATGTGAATGATCAGGTGCTATATCCTTTATTTAAATGTAAAAAGGTTATATTTAACTGGAATTTTACAAATACTTTACTGTTGTTTCACAGTGTCTCCATTTTGTTAAATAACAACTCATAGCCAATACTCACAGGAAAAGAGGCATTCACTCATTCTTTCTTTCTTTCATTCATTCATTCATCCATCCATCCACTATCTATACACCACTTAATCCTCACTAGGTCACGGGGGGCTGCAGCTTATCCCAAACCCAGCTGATTTAAGGCGATGGCAGGGGACATCCTGGACAGGTCACCAGTCTATCACAGGGCTACACTTAGAGACAGACAACCAAGCACACTCACATTCACACCTACAGACAATTTAGAATCACCAATTAACCTCAACATGTTTTTGGACCGTGTGGGAGGAAGCCGGAGACCCAGGAGAGAACCTACGAAAAGAGAAAGAAAAGAAAAGAAAAAGGCCAAAGGTCACCCTGGTAGCTCACCTGGTTAAGAAGGCGACCCCCAAAAAGGGGTTATAGTCCCTGACGCAGTAGTTTTGGGATTGATTCCCAATCATGACCATTTGCTGCAGGTCTTTCCTTTTTTTTCTCTCCATTGCTCTGAAAAATAACAGCAGAAGCCAAAAATAAAAATTTTTAAAAAAGGCCAAAAATGTGCATAATCTGTATTTTGAAAAGGTTACTCCACAATGTGGTAATGAACAGAGAGAGACAGAAAGCCATGTATGGTCAAACTCACACCAATAGCCAATTTAGAACAACTTCATAAGATAATTAGTTTCAGTTACACAAGATAAGTACACATAAGACTCTTGAAAGTGTCCTTGTTTGGCCCAGGACTCCCACCTGTTTGTCACATCACACCGTGTCCATTGAACCATTTCTTACTCTGGGCTGCAGGTTCTGGGTCAGTTGTTCAGCAGTTTGTACCACTTGTTTCCAGACCTCTTCAAAGTAGGTTTCATCCCTTCAGGCTTTAGGAGTCTGTACAAGATGGTAGTTTCCTGGATGTAATTTCATTTCTTTGACTTACTTACAGGTGTAACTACTCCCTTGGCTCTGGCCCTGCTTTTTTAGAGTGTAGCTGAGGAATACCAGTAAGAGCCAAAAAGAACAGAAATCCACTCGGTGTCCTAATGAGAAAAAATTAAATACAGTACATGTAGATTGCAGGGAGAGAGATGCAGAGGGATCCGTCAATATATGTATGAACCAAAATAAACATGAAGGAAGCAGAATATTCTTATTTTTGGACAAAACAACTGCTATAGTGTTTGTAATAAAGGCAACAATACCTCAGACAGGGGTGAATCTTTCTTCTTCAGCATGGGTCTTCTTCCCCCCCTCCTCAGAATATGAATTATAAATAATACAACCACTGAATCTATTCTGGAAAATGTATTTAGGTCAATATATATTCCATTATATTTTGAATTGTGACCCAGTGCCTGAGTCTTGTGCTTTCTTTTACATAAATAAAGACCTTTCTTGCAGAAACACTGATGCAGAAAAGGGGTGAACTAGCGCATAAAAATCCACCACAGTGCAGAAAATGAGGTGTTTGATGCTTTATATGTATTAGGGGAGGGTCCCATACCCCCACACTTAATGTTTCCCCCTTAATATGCAAATAAAACCTATATAAATGAAATGTAAGAGAAGTAAGGGGGTCAGTTTTCTTACTGAGAGTTTGGTTGCATGTATTCTGTGCTGCAGAACAATCCGGCTGTGCAACACTATTCTGCATGAGATGAAGCCTGCCATGTTTTTTGTAAACCAATGCCAGTAGCAAGGTTAGCTTAGCTTATCACAAAACTGGAAGCAGTGAGAAACAGCTAGCCCGGCTCCAGTAAAAGGAACCGCTGCCTTTAAGGCTGACTAAATATTTGGCCGAGCAGTGAAATAGTTATAGCAGGACAAAGTCCGCAGTCAACTTCGCTTTCAACCATGACTGTTCCCTTAATTGTATGAAAGTCTTTCATGTTAGCCCAAGCCCTGAACTCTCTCCGGCCTGAACCTGACCAAGTTGTTTTTGGGCCAAAACCAAGCCAAATTTTTTTTAAAAGAACACTCTGAGGGTTGCAATCAGAGAATAAAAACAAACTATATGCTCGTCTAGGTTCTGTTATTTACCATGAAAGTGTTGTCAAACTTATGAACTCTGGGCAAGACAGAAATTAAGGATATTTGCCCAAATGTGAATCTGTTCCTTTTAAAATGCGTCACACCAATGTGTTCTATGTTTGAAAGCCAGTTCATTGGAACATCAGCCAACTACTCAGCTTGCGAAAAAAAGTTGTGTAATATCCTCTGCGGCCTTGGAGGGAAATTTCTGAAGGGTATCGGCCTCGGTTGCAACCCTGAGGCATGCAGAAAGGGTGTTGGTCATACCATGATGTAGTTAACAGCCGGCTGCACAGGACAGGAAATAGCCATAACATATTATATAGCAGCATTATGCTACAGGATGCATGCACTTGCCACACATAATGTTCTAACTCTGTTCTTTACTTGTTAGGACAGGCTACAGGAGACACATAGGAGTATGCTGTTTGGGCTAGAATAGTCATTTCATGGCAAAATGATTTAGGCTATTTAAAATAACTAATGTTTAATGGTAACATCCATTCATCCCTACATGTTCTTCACCTTTAACGGTAACTCCAGGAACCCAGACCACCTCTTTCAGGTTCTCCCAAGAAAACCCAATGTGCACCTTTATTTAAGTCTTTGATACGAGTATTTATCTCATATCATATCTTTAACTATTTGTACATAACAGAAACTTGGGGAAGATATATAGTTGGTTCCCACATTGTAACGTTTCCTGTAGGAACTGACTAACACACTGTTGGTTTGGCATTTTGTCTGTCCTTTAATACAACAGATTCTTTGTGTATAATATTTATCTGAGTATTTGTAGGCTTCTAGACATTGTATTGAATTAGTTTAATTAGAGATTAGTATTATATTTCTACATTTCTCTGTGGTAGGAAATATTCAAACGGACCTTTATGGACGTATATGATGACAAATCTCTAGTTTATAGCTTGTAAGGTTAAAACATCACTTTACTATACTGAATCTTAAAAGATTTGCAGGATTACTGTATTTAAATTACAATACTACTATTATAACTAATGTAGTGACCATCACCTCTTACCTTCGGTTGCTGCCATAAACCGGATTCTGTCGCCATCTTGGGGCTAATGTTTGTCAGCACATCAAGTTCAGTCCGCTATAAGAAACGGCTACTGGAGGCGAGAGAAAATAGCATTTATTTTATTGTCTTTAAAAACTGTAACTACTCATTATTTCTTCGATTTTAATATTACTTTTAAGCTTTGTTTGTAGCGTACTACTTTGTATAGCAATCGTTGCTAACGGAAGCGGAACCTTTGTCGCCGCCGCAGGATGCTAACGGACCCTCGACGGTGTGGCACCCTGTCAAAACGTAATACAGCTGCAGCGTTTTTGGAGAAAACTTTGAACTATTTGCAGTTTCTTTGATAACAATCGGGTGTTTTATTTATAGTTTTCATAAATTAGGGAAACTGGGGGTTCTTGTGCTGTCGGGACTACTGAGCAGGTAAGAGGACAAAGAGTCCACGAGGGTTATTAGGTTTCAGTGGATATCACTTTTACTAACTGACTAGCTGACAGTGTGGCTAGCACGTTGTTATTCTTTTTCTGTTGTGTGTAGTATAAAACAGAGTGAAGAGTTCCCCCAGTCCTTTCGTTTCCTCAGTGTTACAACCATCTTTAACATATAATTTCGAAATATAAGTCCAACTAAATAGGACAGTGTTAATATTAATGTCAGTATTGATGTGGTGCAAATTAGCAAACACGACTGATCCATGCTTCTTTCCCTTGATTAATTCAAACGTGTCACGTACTTTTCTTCTGCTTGTGGTTTAATTGCATTGGATGTGTTTCTTTGTATGGGTATGTGCATGGAGAGGATAAATGCAGATATACACCAAGTCAGTGTTTTGTTCTTGATTATGCTTTGGGTGTTTGTCATGAATTAAAAGCAGAATCAAGACAGTGTTTCTGTGCTTCTCGTTGATCAGCCTGTGGCCAGACATAATCTCTAACATGGATGGTGTGATGATGGAGGAAGAAGAAGATGATTGTCCAGAACTGGTGCCCATCACCACCCAGTCCGGTCCTCCTGCAGAGCAGATACCGGTCACCATCATCACAGGTTACCTCGGTGAGCACTTTAATGAGCTTATAAAGAAGATTATAGTCTCAGACGTTTGTTAATCTGTCCTCAGCACAATAAAAAGCAGCAGGGTGTTGTTGGCTGAGGTTGTTTACCTCATGAGTATAAATAAAAGAAATACTTCCGTATAATTCTTACATGTTTGTTTCTTTATAGGTGCTGGAAAGACGACACTCCTCAACTATATCTTAACAGAACAACACAACAAGCGGATCGCTGTCATCCTCAATGAGTTTGGAGAGGGTAAACTAATATTGTCTTTCAGAGAAATCGGTAGTTGTAGTTGGTTCAGCTGAGCTTTTTGTTCAGGTCAAACAAAGATGCCCCATGTTGTTTTTATTCTCTATTTAGCACAAGGAAATATATGTAACAAGACGGGGATCACAAATAGAAAAATAAAGAGTTGAACTCAGTCAACAGTTGTGTAAATGATGCTTCAGCGCAATCAAATGCAGTCAATGCAAAGCAATACCATTATACGGAAAACGAGAGAAATAAGATGTGTAAAATATAAAAAAGACAAATCAGTAAAGTAATTCAGTAAACAGATGAAAAGCACAAAAGAACAAAGTAAGAGACATTTAAAAAAAATGAAAAATTAAGGACCAAGATATAAATGTTTTCATTATTTATACCATTCCTATTGTTTGTGCTCTAAACTTGGTGCCAGATGATTGTTGTGTTATTTCCTCAGCTTTCCACAAGAGAGCAGCACAGTGACAAAGTTCAGCAAGGCTTTAAAAAAGAATCTATCCAGAGGCTACAAACTGGCACTGCATTGACTTACAGTATCATTACTCTACATTTACGTTTAATGAAGCAGAGGCTGGTTGGGCCAGTTTACCGTTTTCTTTGAATTGCAAGTGGTCTAATACTTATTAGATTTTGTTTGTGAAATCTGTACAAAACTTAAAAAAAATAGACTGCAAATTGTAATCTTTAGTAGAAATTTCTAATTTTTAATCTTACTTTGATTGCCCCTCATTCCTCCATCCTTTCCCTACAGGCAGCGCTCTTGAGAAATCCCTCGCTGTGAGCCAGGCAGGAGAGCTGTATGAGGAGTGGTTGGAACTGAGGAATGGCTGCCTCTGCTGCTCCGTCAAGTACGTAAAGTAACTGTAGCCCATTTGGTGTTACGTTATTGTTTAAAGCCAAAAATAAAAGCTTTGACTTTGTCTTTGCTTTAAATAAGAGTTCTCCAGTTAAGTGCTTCACTTTTTGCATGAATACCTGGCAATGAGGATCTAAATATCCAAACTGAATGTTGTATTATTATCGTATTGAACTTTGATGCTCAGCATCAGTCACCGACTCATTCAAGGGTTTTTTTTCTTTATATTCAATGTACTATTTTCTTCATCATGGAACAATACTGAAGACACCAAAACAAGAAACCAATACCAACTGAATATGCTTCATATTTTAGATTTCTCATGGTAAATTCTGTTTGGGTCAGTCATTCCTGTTTTTTCTCCTTATTTTTCCAGGGACAATGGTCTTAAAGCGATTGAAAACCTGATGGAGAAGAAAGGAAAGTTTGACTATATCTTACTAGAAACCACAGGACTCGCCGATCCAGGTAACGTACATTATGATATAGTAGAACAACATCAGTTACTGTATAATTGCATTCTAGAAATTTTGTTTTGTTTTTGTTTTTTTCTCGAAGTTCTAGTCTGTGTAGCAAATAGGCAGTTATTTGCCTCCCGGCAGTCAGCTGCATCCCCAGGAGGTGTGTGTGGGCTGGAGGCAGTGAGGTGACTTCCAGCCCACACACACACACAACACACACACACACACACACACACACACACACACACACACACACACACACACACACACACACACAGCACATGTCTTACACACACTGGACAATCAGTTGGCAGCTTTTATTTGAAATAACAATTAACGAAATTCACATCATTCTTTTCACAGTGTCTGTGTTTGTTAATTGCTTATTTTGCAGCACGAGTCTGGAACGCGGTGCTTTTTAGCACTTAACTCATTTTGACATTTTGAATGGCAGAAGTCGAACACATTAGAGGAAAAAAAAAACGGTTTCAAACAGTTTGTTTATCAGAACTGATGCAAGTGATCAACAGAGCTGCACTTCAGGACCACTTAAGACTGGCCAGCTTTGCAAATGGCCGGTATTGACAGCATAATGACCTGAATTAAAGCAACTGTTAACAGTGTTGTGATATCCTCAAGTCGTACTGTTGTACTGAGAGTCCAAATGGAGCATTTTGGGGGAGTACAAGCTTTAAAATGGGACCTGAAATCTGAACACCAATGCACTTGGTTGACAGACCATGTAGGAGAACGTGTACATTATTGTAAAATATGTGACTTTTAAATGAGACTTTACTGCATACAATAGTGCATTCTGTTTCCTTATGGTACTCGTAATACCTGACCAATCCTCATACAGTGCTTAGAGATGGCACACAGTGTTTTTAGGTTAACTGCAAAAAGCAAAAAAACTAAACAGGCCAAAACTGTAAATATCAGAAATCTATCTTTTTACAAATATTCATGTTTTTTTCCCCATTGTGTCATCATAAAATAACACTATTTTTACTGTATTTAAATCGGCAAAAAAGTCATTTCACAGTTGTTTGTTTATATATAAATGATGTATACTAAAGATGGAAAATTATCAATAAATATTTAAGCTGTTGTTTATCAGATTTTCCCTGTTTTGTTAAATTAAAGATAATTTTAAGTGAAGTCACAGAAAAAAACCATTAATTGAGAGCAAAGAAAAACTGGTCAAAACTAGACATAAGGTCCACAGCAACAATATAAAAATACTGATTGTGTGTAAAATTTTAGTTTTACTGCATTAAAATCAGCTAAAAATATGATTTCACATATGTTTGCCATTATTTTCACAGTTTTTCTGAGCAACACAGTACTCCACCATTTTTTAACCACAAGATCTTTACAGTTTTTAGTATTTTTTTTTTTTACGGTGTAAGCTGTAAAGCAATAACACAGAGCCCTTTTCTGTCTTAATGATTGTTAAAGACCTGTAGATCACTCTGTACAGCCTGCGTCAGAAGTTAAACATTTTGTCGTTAACTGAAGCCCAGACTTGTGTCACTGTGACAGGAACATCCAAGGGCAGCCAAAAAAAAGTCTAGCTGTCCAGTTATCACTCGGGCTTGAATCAGGAAATCAATATTAGGCTATCACAGGGCGAGTGCTGTGACGATCGGGGTGTGTCGCTAAGTGACAGGTGTCAGGACGCGGCAGACACACACCACTTGGCTTCACGGGCAGAAGCTGCAGAGCGCGCTCAGACCGGAGCTGTCCTCACTCCTCTGCCACGTCATTGGCTTGTTATCGACTAGGACAGGCCTGTCATTGGCTCCGGCCGTGCTGTCAGTCATAAAGCGTCCCGGGGGGGATCCTCTCCTTCCATTCAGGAAGAGCTTGGATGAGTTATGTGAAACATGCCACTCAAAAAGCGTGTTTTCATTACGCAGCCATCAAATATTTACAATGCTTTCTTATTCTCGCCTGGCAGTTTGACAAAAGTGCATTATGTGAACAAGCTGTGGCTGGCATGGTAACAGAGGGTCTTATAATAACCGCATCCACAGGAAAATGGAAACAAACCAAATGTACCAGGGGCACATAAACAATTGAAGGCTTCTGATATTGGTTTTATCTGATCCACAGGTCTCAGGCAGAAAAAAA